GTTGCGGAAAAACCCCGCTCTCCACATATGAAAGCTTCATCTGTAAGGCTGCCCCACGTCGCCCTGTAGTGATGCTCGGTGCCGGCGAAAGAGCAGATGAGAATAACATCTTGACGCCCTTCGGGCTTTTTGAGAAGCTGAGCTGTGCAAACATTCACGCTGCGGTCGCTCAACTCTCCAGGTGTATACACGCGCCGTACACTACACAGGAGGGGGCGCGCCCTCTTTGGGCAGCGCTGTGCTGTGGGTCTTAGAACTCCTTCTCGCAGAATCTCTGCCCCGCACTGGAAGGAAGTGCCGTGTGCAAAGCTGTAATGATGAGTGGATGGAGGCGAGTCCCTCCATTCCTGCTTGGTCACCCCGAAGGGTACCGGCTCGCTGAAAGGCGTGCGGTTGCATTCGAGCAATGAGGGATCACCCAAAGACATCAAAATCGATGGGTATAATCCGTCGATTTCAAAGAAGCGCAGGGCCTCCAGCCCAGGTGCGTTAGGTACGAAACCTGACGCAAAAAGCATCTGGGCCAATCAATGACAGCAATTGTTCCTGGGTAAAGAGATCCATTCCGCTGTCGCCCCCTCTTTCACAGAGTTTTCCAGCCAATCTTCTGCCTCATCGATGTCGTAAGAAACGAAAGAGGGCTTCTGTGACAGTGCAGGCTGCAGCACAACGCGGTGTGGGTATCGTGGCGATCTGCTGCGAGGTGGGGTGCGGGAATGTTTAGAACCGCGGGAATCACGACGGCGGCGTGTTCTGGGTGTGGAGGATCTGCTGGGTGAGGATCGGAAGTCGCTGCGGCTGCTGCGGCGTGGGGTGGATGATTTGCGTCGTCGGTGTGTGCGCTGGCTCCGGGTTGGTGCCGGTGTGACCCTGGTACGGGGCCTGAGTTGGACCCGGTGCTGGCCCGGTCGCTGCTTGCTGCGGGTGGTCCAGTGTACGTGCCGCCGGGGGCAAATTGTGCGGCAGACTGCGGTTGCGGGGAGGCTTGTGGTGCTTGAGGATGCATCGGGAAATTGTAGGGGGCGGCTGGGCCAGGTTGGGTGGTGGGAGAGGTGGTGGTTGCAGGTGGGGTGAAGCTGTTGCTGAAGACTCCCCCATGGGGTTGTGTGTTGAGGCTGGTGTGTGATGTAGTACGGTGGTGGTTGTGAGCGTGGCTGTCGGTAGGGTGTTGTCTGTTGCTGTGGGTGCGCAACAGGTGGCTGCGGGTGTGGCGTTGCTGGTGGATGATATGGGGTGGGGGCTGTGGTGTGGATTGGTGTGTTGCTTGTGTTACTGGTCGAAGTGTAGCTGAGATTGGAGGCTGCATCATCATGTTGGTGCTGATTGGTGGTTGTGGTGGTGAAGTAGCTGCGGGAGTAAAGGATACAGGGGTCGTCTGCTGCAGCACAGGTTGTGGCAGGTGCTGCTGTGTGGAATGAAACAACACGTTCCAGGCCTCCCTGTTGCTCCAGGGTCCGTGACGGAGCATCGCCTCCGTCCGGCAACGCTGGGTCAACGTCCACCCATTCGCGAGCAGACGGAGCCGCTCCGGCTTCCAGGCGGACTGGTCACCGAGGCTTTGTTTGCATCGGGCCGGGTTCCACATAGCCGGATCTGCGCATGAACTGGGGTGGTGGAGAGCTCGGCGCCGGCTGACCGCCTTCTCCGGGCGGGGCGGCACCACCATCCAGGTCCAGCAGATGTCGGAGCAGCATCGGACGGCTGGGGTCACGGTCGGGTGCCGGAGCACTGAACCGGAGCGGGGTCAGGCCCAGCCTGTCCGCAAAGGCGGACCCCATTAAATCGTGGAGTCGGAGAATCTCCTCCAGAGTGAGATCACGGAGCGCAGGCCATAGTGTCTCATCCGGAAATAGCACGTCGCTCACGGGCGGGAGCGCCGCATGAACGCGGGCGGAACCCCCGGCGGCACCCGAAGATGCGGACGGAGCACCACCAACGCTGGCGGACGGCGCCGCACCACCGGTCGGGGCGGAAGCCATGATGCACAAAGGCGCAAAGGAGAGAAGACAAAGAATGCTGTGATCGCGAAAGGCGGCTGCAGCATAAAGCTCATGGAGCACAACCGGCCAAAACAAAACGATTTGCAGTGAGACGGACACACCTGCAAAAGTCCTCAGGAGCTCCGGCCGGAGATCGAACACTCGCCGCGGGCGGAGTGCTGATACCTGACACCAGAAGGGAAACCGAAGCCGCAAGAGAGCCAAATGATGGCGCCTCCCAACGGACTCGGAGTCCTCACCGGGCCTTGGTGCAGAAACACAAAAGAAAGAACAGACGGACGGGGCATCTGAGCACCCGACCGAAAGGCTCGTCATTTGAGTCGTGACCTGGCACGACAGCAAAAGACGGAGCCAAAGCAGAGCAGGGAGGGCCCGCCTGGCACCGGACTGTCCACCATCACCGGTCCTGACGGACGGAGTGGGGAGCAGCCACCCAGGGCACGGAAACCAGTCCTGCAAGACCATCGGGCGGACCCGGACGGCCAGGAAAACGTGATCTCTCAGAGCTCGAAGTCGAAGAAGACGAGGAAGCCATGGCTCGCACCTAGCGTCGGAAACACCTGACAGGTCACAAGGGCAAACCGGACCGGACGGACGAAGACCCAGACCAGACCGGAAAGACCGCACCGAAACGAGTCAAAATGCAACCGACCCGCTGCGAGCCGAAGGAGCTGAAGGCTGAGGCGGTCGGTTGCCGTTGCGTCCTAATTCCAAACATACCTGATCCCCCGCTCGGTAACGCAGCGAAATGCTGTGGTTGTTGGTACACCTGTTGCTGTGCCGGTGGTGGCTGCTGGCATATCTGTTGTTGTGCCGGTGGTGCCGACAGGTGTGCAGGCGGTTGTAGCTGCACTGGTGGTTGCATCTGTATGTGTTGCTGTGAAGGAGGAGCAACCATGTGTGGCGGCTGCTGCTGTGGTATCGATGGTTGCATAGGCGCCGAAGGTACAGGCTGACAGAACTGCTGTGTAGGCGGCGCTTGCTGCATCATTGCCTTGCCTGATGTTTGCTGCATCATCGGCACTTGTTGCATCAAAGTGCCCGGGTGAAACTGCATCATGGGTACTAGACTCACACAGCTGTCGTGGTGCTTGCGCAGTTACCGCTAGCGTCCGGTCAACATGCGAACACGGTTTGGACCATTGGCCCCCCTTGCAGACACTTTACCCTGATGCAATCAGACCTCGTGTCGGTGCACATGCGAACCTGCACAAAGGCGGAATAGGGAAGCGGAGCAGACCTAACAGATGCACATGCCGTCCTGCGCGCACTCAGACACTCATGTCTCGTCCGGACCTGGACAAGAGGGCCTTGTACCGAACTGAACGGTACCTCGGGCCTCATCGGGTTCTCATGAATGATGAACGAGATCGGCATCTCCACTGAAGGAGAAAGAACGGATCCCCATGCACGAGGACTGCCTCAGAATGAGACCACCACGGCGCCGTGACGGAAAGCCGTTGTAGCACACTTGGAAAGTGTTTTCTGCACTCGCGGACAGATGCACTTAAAGTACATACTCTAGCTGCACTTGCACAAGTCAGCCCACTGCAACATGTGATGAGTCATGGGGGTCGAGCCATCATGCATGACAGATAGCTGCATGTCAGATTGCGGCAGACGTGCAAAACAGTGATGTACTTGTCTAATCTGGACACCTCAGGGGGCCTGTCCCGGAACTAATCTCGGCACCACAGGGGGCTGCCAAAAGTTTTAGCAGGTACGCCGAGTTGATCAGACTCGGTATCCCATGACTGTGGTAGTTTCGTTGAGTGCGGTCCCACAGCCATGCAGCACTCCCCTGCAAAAGAAATAATCTGAGAAAACATGCTACAGAAATCGTGATTGGGCTGTGAGCCCCTTAACGAGAGGAGTTCACACACACACACACACACGCGCGCACACACTCGCACACACTCACACACACACACACACACACTGGCGTAGATGGCCAAGGTTACAGCAACAGGGCTCCAATTAATTAATGTACTTGTGCGTCGTGAAAGTGTGCTGTGGGTGATTCCCTAAGACGTCCTGGCGACTGACATGAAACTCAGCCGGTCTTGCTGGCATCGTGCGCTGAGGTTGTTGCACCGGATGAAATCATAGCCCAGGCACAAACGGGCCATGCGGCCATATGTTTGCTGCTGTTGCAGATTCGGGACAACATGGTGCAGAGGCTTGCTGCACGGCAGGGTGCCCTGCGGGCATGATCTGCTGCATTGTTTGCTGCAGTGATACTGTAACACACAGGCAGTGCCGCCGTGTACGGAGACATTGCCGCAGCTGCCGTAGCTCCAGCCATGAATGCCCGTAGATGTTGAGGCAGGTGTTGTCACCAGATGTCAAAGGAGTATTCACATGTGCTGACAGCCGATGGGGGCGGGGTTTGCCTGCAGCCGGGCACTACACTTTCGAGCTCGTCGACATTCATTCCTGGCTGCAATCGTCGTGGCCAGTTTGGCTGCTGCAGGAAAATCTGCCACTTAGCCGGAGGAGAGTGGTGGCATTTCTGTGCCTGGCGAGATGTGCACCTGGCTGTTCGCATTCCAAAGAAGGTCATCAAAAGCAACATCTTGCGGCACGACCACCCAGGACACAATTTGCGGGCAACTGGCGGCAAAGGGCTTTCGTTGACCGCAGCGCAGTTATTCCCGTCAAATTCCTGCCTCTCCCCACGTTCATGCTCCTTCTTCTCTCATGCACCCTGTGTAAGACTGTCGGTACTCACTGACTCGTCTGTCTCGTCGGGCTTCAAGATCTAGCTACGCATCGGCGTTTCTGTCTCCCACTGCAAAGTTGCTGACACTGACCCACGACAATATTGTCGCCCTAATGCTCCCCGAACTCCCCCTGACTGATGGCACTCAGAATCGCGGGCTGCCGCCAAGCAAGTGCTGAAACTCTGAACGCCAAGCAAGTGCTGAAACTCTGAATCGATCCAGGCGACACTCACTCTCACTCTGAATGCAGCAACAACGTTCAGCTGTGTTGAGCAGCCTCGCAGGTCTGCATCTCACACTCTGACAGCTGCTGGGTGGCCCCTTCACCTCAGACTTCTGGCTTGCAAGCTGCAACGTGCCACGCGCTACATGCAACCAAGACTAGAACAGCCCCGTCCATCGCCGGTCGCGAAGACGGCTATCTGCAAGGCAGAAGGTCTTGTGATGCGCAAATCACTCATGGAAGGCTTGCAACAAACCGTGGCGACAGAATCGTGTCGGCGACGGCACCAGCGGAAGTTGGAACTATGCGGGAGGAGGGAGGGACCGGTGCTCCTGGGGGCTGTGGTAGTGTGCCGTGGCCCTCATTGCTTCCACTTTTCTGCTTCCCACCAACCGACCAACCTCTAATAATGACTCTGTCTTTGCAGCGGCGCAGGCCTTGCATAAGCTTACCTGGAAGTCGACATAAACTCATCAGCTGCTTGTGTTTTCGGTAATGCAACCTAAGAGACCCATGATTTCGACGCCCAAGCTTCATCCTTCGACGAATGGCTATGAAACCCGCTCAACAGTGAGCATTTTGAGCGTAGGGCCCTCAATATCCTCAACCCGGCACCCCTGGGATGAGGTTGCTCATTTGCTGTTTCTTGCCTGAGCGGCCATGGTGCGACGTGACGCGCTGTCAAATCGGGACACTCCGCTGACTCTGAACCTCTAGGCATAGACCAATAAGCAGCAAGAAGCATTGGTTCTGGGTGAATGCCTACCAACGGCCTTTCTCGTCCGCTCGCGGGTGCCCTTGCCGCAGAGCGCATCACAGTTTGACCTCATTCATCTTAGCACTACACGAAACAAAACCAACAGAATCTCGACACGACCGTTGGTTCAACATTCTTTGTCCAGGACGAATGTTCCTGGTGACCATGTCTTGTGCCCCAAACCCAGATCCTAAAGGTGGGATGACATCCTGGCATTATGAAATGCGGTCTTTCTGTGCCAAGCCGACAAGATCCCCTCAGACGACGTGGAACCATCGTTTAAGACCGGAGCCATTCTCCCCAATGCTCAAAGATACAGTCATTGGGCGCCGGAGATCTGCATTCATCCGTCCTTCGCAAGAACGCTTGTACTTGGCCTCGCCCAGGCACCCCTGAACTGCCCTGAACCCTGGGACCCTGGCCCACAAGGCTCTGCTTGTTGGAGGACCTGTGCAGCAAAGATGGTTGCATCGCCAAAACCAGCAAAGTCACGAAGAACTGAAAAAAGTCAGTTCAGGGCAGCGTGATGGCAGAAGCCACCCTCCGTGTTCGGTTTCAACTCGGTGTGCAGACACAAACCGGTCCTCCCTGCTGGTGAATCGCATGGTTTGTGGCCTTTGCGCCCTGATGTTAAGGAAGGTGCAAGCTGCCTCTTGCGAGACATCTGGCCACCGCCGCAGGTCCTGGGCATCCCAAGATTCCCTAAGCGTGGCGATTGGCCGCTAAGCCGGTGGCTTCGAGCAGTCGCTCCACTGCCTCGGAGCTCACACCATCACCAAAACAAGCACCCGCCCCATGCCAAGCCCATAGCGACCACATTCCAATATCACAGTCCTGTCCAGCGGTGTTGGGCCTCACAAGCCAGAAGCTTTTCTGGGCAAACGGCTCACGGCTGACCAGACAAGGACCCAGCGCAAAGCAAGGGACGGTCCTAAGTTGGGAATCAGGGAAGCTGCCGAAAGCATGGGTCGTTTGAAAGCTGCCAGACTACAGCCACATGTTCACCGCTGTAGAGCCGAGACTGAACTTCTGGACTGCGTGTCTGCTCGTGCCAGCGCACAACTGCAGTGTGCTGGCAGCCCCCTCTGTCGGCAAGTATAAGGATCATAGGTCAAGAATGCAAAGCGATGTCGTCTCAACCCCAGATGCCACTGGGGTCGGCACTGAATCAGATACTTGTCACATGCTCCTTGAACGGATCGCAACCATGAAGATCCGTCACTGGACGCCGAGGTCACTCAGCCGCAAACTTCCGCCATTGCTTGGCGCTACTTCAACATTCCGTCTCCGGAACCTTTGCGGGTGAAGTGCCTGCAGGGCAATCAACAAGTGTCATGCACCCAACACTTGTGCCACCTATGCAAGGCGATATGGTTGAGAGAAGCACGTCACACTCCGACCAGGATGACCAATCGCCGAGCCTCGACAAGACTGAAGAAACTCACGAAGCCTTGACTTGCAGTGTTTGCACGTGGCCTGCAGTCGGTTGGCTGGCAGGGTCCGTTGTTGCAGGCCCCGTTCTCCAGGGAAGCCCCGGAGCAAGGAAGACCACCTCCCAGTGCTCGCAGTCGCTCCAAGGTGAGCCAGAGGCCAGAGAATTCGACAGGCCTGGGTCCGACCTTCTTTCAATGCGCCTCATCCTGCCAGCTGAAAGCTGAAGGAATTACTTGTCCGCAGTGTGGCAGTGCGACAGAAAGAAGGGCTCCTCTCGTAGCGACCGCTCCCACAAGAAAGGCTGCACCTCTGCAGGGGAAAGTAACGCTGTGGGAGCTCTTGTGATCTCCCTGGGCTTCGTGCCGACCCCAGGAGCCCCACTGCGACCAGATGCAGCTCATCGGAGCATTTCCGGTGCTGCAGGCCTAATGGCCCCGAAGGCACCCCACCACCTCTCCGAACTTCCTTGCGCTTTCGTTCCCGCCTTCGTTTCTGCGAGAGGACCGTGGCACGGATCCCTGGTCGCTGGACTGCAAGCCACTTATGTACTCCTGTAGACTGGTATGACAACTGCACAAGTCCTAGCACTTTGACTGCAAACCCAAGCAGAATAAAGCACCCAGATCTGACAAGCGGCCAGATCCTACGATCATTCTTGGAGCCACTGCCGAAACCAGCAGTGGCAATCAATGCTAATCCTCAAGTTAAGCACTTGACCGCTGCTTGGATCCGTAAGACGTCAGAGATCAGAAGAGGAAAAGGCGGCTGGCTGATTTGGAAGCTCATGCATCCGGCCAACCCTAACGACGGTGAAAAGCCAGATCTGAAAAGAGTACAAGCAGCTGGGTGCGCTGCCCGTCAGGTCCTGCTGGCTCCTCGATCTCTCGGTGCCGTGTTGATTGGTCAAAACCTGTTGCCAGCATCATTCCACGGATGCTCTTGGGGAGACCCGAGCTGGATAAGTTGCAGGCTCGAATTGCAAGAAGTCCAGGAAGACCAGGCCTTATCCAAATTCCGGGTAAGCAATAATTCCAAGACACATCCGAGCTGCCTGATTGGTCATAGCTTCTACCTTTGAAGGTTACGGTTAGAGGACTTCACATGGTGCCGGCGTTGAGGACCATTCATTAGGTCTGCCTGTTGTGCGCTACGTCGCTGCAAACTGCAGTCCGCACAGAACAACGATGCTCTCTCGGTCACTCTCGCCCCATGGATGGGGAAACCTCTACCAACGGCGAGAACGGAAGAAATCGCTTCAAAGGACTGCAGCCTGACCGCTTCTGAGCCTGGTACGGAGAACTTGCAAGCTGCCATATCCTGGTTGCACTCAGTGGCAGCACCAGGTTGCTGCGCAGACTCTACCTGGCACGGGTCCAAGACATCTCAAGTCACCTAGAGAAAGTAAAGGTTACTAGGCAAAATGCTTGTCAAACAAGGTCTTGTCAAGACATGGTGCTGGCACACACATACTGCCACGGCTTGTGGACAACGACAAGCCAGGAGCACGGCAGGCCCTCTGCAAGGGTAGCCGCATTCATTGTTCACGGTGACGACCTAGTAGGAAACAGGTGTAGACTGCACATGCATGAAAAACTCGGGCTCTCACTTCCCGGCGACGGTATCTCAAGCCAGTACAACCTCCAGATGTATACCAATCCTCGCGAGAGAGCTCTAAGGCGTCCTGTGACGTGTGACACTTTGCGCACTTCTTGCGGTCCTGCCATGAACCAAACCGACAATCTTGCGGCACACAGGGGCCGTTACAGTGTTCGAGATCCGGGCAGCGACCCTTAGTCCACAGTTTCTTGGTCGCTAAATGCCACCAGGTTGATGGCGGCTGGTTAGGATGCCACCCATTCCTCATCATAGCCACTGCACTCGCGATCAAAACCTGAACGCTGAGAATGAGCGATTCCAAACCACTAACATCAACCAGTGCAGCATAAGGCTGCAACCAAGGTCGGCTGGGCTGTTTGGAAAAGCAGAGCACCTCAACAGCAGCAGCAGCAACAACAACAGTAACAGTAACCACAATCGGAACCGCGGTACATCACGACGATGTACGACCACGAATACCGCGACAACGCCTGACTCACGACCACGATGACGACCACGACTACGACCTGCGACGCCGATGAGGACCACACTACGACTCACAGCTATGACTACGAGGACAGAGCGGGAAAGGCGTGCAAGCTTCGAGGTTGAGATTCAGATATCCACAAGCCGATAAGGCCAGTGCAAGATGCTGCTACCAAGAAGGAAACCGACGGCTGCTTGCACCATATCCTCACGACTGCCGCGACATAAAGACATGGGGTCAGCAAATGTCGCGGACTGATCGAAAATGCAGCCCACCACAAGGCACAGTGCCTGCAAATCTCCGAATCTGCGGTGCTTCATGTCTAGACCGTTGCCGAGGCTGCATCTTGAGGCAGTCGGCTGCAATGCACGATGCGCTGAAAGGCATTTTTGCAAGCGGCCGCGACCACGCCGTCAATTTGGCAATGCATGTGACAACTTTTGCGGGGGCTTGACAGCTTAAAATTTGTGACATTACCTGCTAATTAGCTAACTGATGGTCATGCCGACCAACGGTTCACACAGTCATGATGCAGAAATGGAAGCAACAAGTTAATGATTGTGTTTTGGTTCGGTTCGGCTTGGTAGAAGTTGACGGTTTGACAAGAGCTCGCTGCAGGATCTTGCCGGTCTATTCTTTACACCGAGTTGTTCATGCAATTTGTGCCGGGGACAGCTTCTACACTGATTCTACACTTCCAAAAACCGAAGTGACACGTTCATTGAATTTTCGTGCCCGGATATGCTCGGCCATGAGAGTAAATCAGTAGAAATCTATGCCAATTTGTACCCCAAAAGGCAATCGAACAAAACACGAACCCATGTCCAGCAAACCTCATAATCTACATAATTCCGAACCAGCATCGGTTTTACATCGGTTCACCTCAAGACATGATTTGAGTTAAAAGCCATGGAAAGCAAGCCGGCAAACCTTCGATTCTAACTCGATGAAGAATCGCTGTTGATCCGAGGCAAACCACATGCAACCATGAAGATCGTTCTGCCACCGGCTACTGAATGATTCTGAACCCGATTGTGTTTCATCCGAACCCTGGCACATAACTGAAGTTTTGGATGGTTGAATATGTTCAACATGTCTATCTAGCCGCAAAGCATACCCTCACGATCCTGCATATAAACATATATGCACATGTCCACTCCAGCCGAGTCCGATACTCCTTTTGGCGGTAAGACACTTCGAGCAGCTGTCGCAAAGTCCAGACAAGATGCAAGACGTGTATGATCACCGGCTGCCCAAAGTGTAAAAGCGATAAGGATACCGAAAAGCCAACGTACGTAATACCAAGCCAGTGTCCATACGCGACCTGATCTTTTCGTGTCCGTATATACAGAGACGAACAGTGCACAGTGGCACAAGTGGAGCAGCGTAAGAGCTGTTCGACAGCACCACACAGGGTGGGTGGGTGGGAATTTCAAAATCCCTTACGATTTGTGGCACAAGCTGATTTGGATTTACAAATGTCGAATATCTAGTCGTCCTCTTAGGGACGTTCTATAAATGACTCAGAAAAGAATCAATCCAATATTCTGTGGCATAACACACTCACGACTTTTTCGCTCGAAAGCGTCAAACGGGGTTTCCAAGTGCATGCCGCACGCACAATGTGGCACACCGCCACAAGAAAGAAGCACTTCGCTTCGAGAGCACTCCGCTCGCCCCAGGGTTGGGTGGGTGGGAAAATAAATTTCGCAGTCTTGAGCTCTAACTCCGAGCCAAGACTTTGCAGCATAACCTTGTTCAAATCTCGTGCGGCATGTGAAACGTGAAACATATTTCAAGTAGTTGAAAATCCAAAATCAGCAGTTTTTCTGTACTTCCAGAAAAACCAAAAGCGCCTACAAATCGTAAAGCGAAATCATGCAAGCATGAGTTGAAGCTTACGATTTGTGGCACAAGCTGATTTGGATTTACAAATGTCGAATATCTAGTCGTCCTCTTAGGGACGTTCTATAAATGACTCAGAAAAGAATCAATCCAATATTCTGTGGCATAACACACTCACGACTTTTTCGCTCGAAAGCGTCAAACGGGGTTTCCAAGTGCATGCCGCACGCACAATGTGGCACACCGCCACAAGAAAGAAGCACTTCGCTTCGAGAGCACTCCGCTCGCCCCGCTTGACCTGAGTGCTCTTAGACGAAGCGCTGAAGCACTGTACCCGTCAGAGGACAACAAGGATCATCGATCGCGCACTCCGGGAAGGCTCTCAAAAGGCCCTCCCATCGACCTCTTGATGGTCCATCAGAGATATTAGAGTGCGAAGGAACACGACTGAACCATTGCAAGGCAGGCAGTGAATCAGCTTTCTCGAGTGCACACAAGAGCTTTCTCCAGGTATCTTCCTTGGAGGATCCGCTTATGCAAGCTGCAAGCACCCCGCTGTGATCGACGAAATAAATGACCCTGGCACCGTCCAGGACGTTCGCCCAGCACGATCTGGCAATGATGACAGCGAACATCTCAACCTGTCCTATGAGGTGTCGCTTGCCCTTGGCATGCCAAGCTTCAAGCAACGTCTTCGGAACAAGCGAGCCAAAGGCCCTTACCTTCAAGCCTCCACTAAGCGAAGGAGCGAACATCACCCCCCCCACACCGGCGGGGTTTGCAGCATCCGGCTCAAAGCAGCCGTCAGTGAAGATCACGATAGGACTAGTCGCAGCTGAAGCTGAAACAGTTCTCGGAGCTCCGGACACAACGCGTTCCTTCAAGAGCAACAAAGCTTCAAGATGCTGAGCTGTGAGGTTGACACGCGCAGCAGAACACCTCTCAAGACTTCTGAGATCATGAATCGCCAACCTGCCCATTCTGCCAAGGATCTGTGCCTCGGCGAACTGAAGTCTGCCGAACAAAGAAGGCAACTCGCGAGGTGCGACGTGCCCTCTGGTGATAATCTCCTCAATGGCAGCGGCGATGGCCTGCGACCTCGATGGTTTGTTGCACACAGACACGCCCGACATATCTTCCGCCGACGTGTCTATGACAACTCCCAAAGTTTCCGAGCGCGTCGAAAAAGGCTTATCCTTATCATCAGCAATCCTAAACCCCAAAAGGCGCATCACTGAAGTAAAGGCTGCAGCCGTGCTGTTGCCAAGGAGGCTCGGCGTCACTACTGGATAGTCATCATAATAAAGCGCCGTCAAGATCTCCATCTCAAGCATAATCCTTCTCAGCAAAGCCGAAACTCTGTTGAAGTGAAGAACAGATCCACAGGCTCCGAAAGGAAGAGTGTTGCATATGTAGCCGGACGGCTCGGTCTGTGAAGGATGTCGAATGGTCACAATCGCCTTACTTTGTTCCTCCGGTGCGAGCGGAAGTTGTTTGTAAGCAGATTTAAGATCAAACGTTGTAGTGACAGGCCTGATCTTCTCCTTGTCGGTCCAATGGTCATGCAGCTTGCCTTTCAAGGTTTCGCCCGAGCTCAGATGCAAAGTGACATCGCCCCTAGCAGAGGCAGCCTGCATTATCTTGGTGCAAATCCAAACCACCTCGTCCAGAGCCCTAAGGGGAATCTTCTCATGGCAGCCAAAAGTAGCATTGAGTCCCGACTCGCTAAGATCATCGATCGGCCTCCACTTGTTTTGCCATACAGCGAACCTTCGGCACGGCATCCACTGGCCTTCAAAGCGCTCCTGGAGCTCAGAGAATGACAAAGGACCCTCGAGCCACCCTTTTCCTCCAGAAACACCGGTTTCGCCCAGCGTGATTTCGGCCAACTCCGCATCGTACTCCTGAGCCGGCTGCTCCCTCACCCGTGCCCAAAGCTGATGCTTCAAAACTTCGGCAGCGTCCCAAAATTGCTCCTCCGAAGATAAGGCAGGCTTGTGGTCTGGCTCAAAAACACCCGTAGGATCAGGAGTTCCTGACAACTTGAACCCTGCACATAGGTCGCGATGCAGGTGCTTGTCGGGCCAGTCAAGAGATTTTGCAATCTTGTCAAGAAGAAGCAGCTTCTTTCCTTGAAGAACCTTGCGTACCGAGGGATGAAGGGAGGCCTGGAGAGCGGCCTCATCTGAGCGAAGGTCCTTCGCCCACTGGTTCCACTTTTGCAGCAGGAGCAACCTGTTTCGCATGATGCATAAGGGACCTTTCGTCAATGTGTCAAAAAGCACACGAACAAGCTTGTCCGGAAGAGCTCTGGCGGCATCAAACGGATGCTGAAGTGCGACAGCCTGATACACAAATTGCACCGGCTCGCGATACACACCGAACACATACTCAGTATGGCGAGGCTTCTGCAAAGAGATGTTGGTCGCTTGCTGCGCGGATTCCTCAGTCGCCCCCCCTTCGGAAGCGGAAGAGCGCAGGAGGCGGGCGTGTTTGGGCACGCCGTTCCACGAATGTGTCAGCTGGTTCTTGGCATCCAAAGGTGGATGGCCCGCACACCGTAAGCGCTGCGTGTATGCAAACTCTGGCACAAGCGGTGGCAGCTTGGACGCCTTCGGCTGGTTTTGCGCCGCAGCGCGCACCTCGGGGAGACTAAGAGGGGAGGGGCCTAAACCCAAGGCAGCAACCTGAGTGGACAAGGCAGCAGCAAAACGATCGCAAAAGAGTTTGGCTGGCACGGCGTCGGCTCTGTCAGCCGCGGAAAGCGGGGACAGGTCACACAGGGTGTACACCAAACGAAGATGCTGGATCCTGTGTAGGTCAGACACCAGATACACCGGCGCCTCCGAAGTGACCTTGAGCAGGTCGGCGAAGGGAGGCAGCTCCCAAAGCCAGGAAGACATGGGATGCATAAGCGAGAACGGTACCTCAAGTTCACGAGCCCGAAGCAAAAAGGCCCCCAGCTGAATGAAAATGCGGTTGGCCGACTGTAGACGGGCCAGAGCCGAGGAGTCCTGACCTGGCACACCCCACGGGTGGGAAGCACTTCGAAGCGACGATTTTGCACGTGATCGTCGCGTCGTCCCAGAAGGGGGAGTTACATGCACATGAACAACGTGTCTGTTTTCAAGAACGGTCGTCAAGTACTCCCACGAGGCTGGCAGCGTGAGGTCGAGGCCGACAACATGCACATAAGGCTTAGTGCGATTCCCGTGAAAATCAACCGCCAAAGTGTCTATGTTTGCAGCTTTGACGGAGGCTGACAAAAGGCCTGACCCGGCGCAGAGTTGGATCACAAGAGGGGCACCACGGGAGCTCTTTGCCTTTGGAACCAAGGAGCTCGAAGACAGTCCTGAGAAGGTACTATGCGACCCAAGCTGACACAGAGAAGTCGCCGTATCCTGACAAGGTAGATTGAAACCCGCTCGTAGCAGCATCTCTGCAGCCTGGTCTGGAATCTCGGCGGGGGCTTTGACCACAAAACCAATGAGAACGATACGTGGGCCCTGAGTCCAAGGCAACGTAAGGTGCTTCTTATGCGGATCAAAGGCAAGAGTTAAGTCGCTGAAGTCGAGGTGTGAGCCCAGAAGAGAAGGATCGGTGGGGCACACAATGCTTCCGCTTGAATCCTGGACCCACAAACCCCCACCATTAAACCCCGAAATCTTAACCAAGCCGTTCAGATAGCCCAGTGCATTGTTTGCATCCAAATGCAAGGTCGTTCGCACGTTGCGAGTCAATGACAATGTTGTCACGGGAAGCCTCGGGTGGTATTCCTTGAAGACTTTTGCAAGGAATGCAGAAGTCACGGGAAACTGATGCATATGTTGTCGGCATCCGTGCACACCTCCATGCACGTACGCACCTGTGTTCCAGCTGAACTCGTCCTCAGAATTGTTCCCTCTTGCCGGAATCTCACTCTCCAGCAAATCGCACAAGGTCACAACATCCCTGAGATCAAAAGGCTTCTTAAGTGATGCGGTAGCAGAAAATTGCTCAGGATCTTTGCAAAACAAAGGCGCTGAAGCGACATGCTCAGCAGCGAAAATCGAAGATTCAGAATCCGACCCCTCGGCCGAATCAGCAACTTGTGCAATAGCACGGTCCCTTGACCGCGCTCGCTTGGACAAGCCCACTCCGAGCTGCCCACTACTCATTGCCGATGGCATCTCCGCCTCCGCCACCTCGTCTCGACCCACCTGGAGTCAAGACCCGGCCTTCTTCAGGGCCGCATACTGTGGGCAATCAAGTGCTGGATGCGCGCCCCCGCACTTCGGGACGGCGCATACGTGCAACCCCTTTGGGCAGCGACCTCCCTTCACTTGCTCAGAGCAAGTTTTCAAGCCGTAGCCAAAACATATTGGGTCGCCCCGATTGGTGCACGCCTTGCAGCCAACAAGCTCCTTGGGCATCCTCGGTGTGCTCTTGCCTGTGCCTGGGCTCTTGCCTTTCCGACCACCCTTTGAGGGGCGATCGTACGGGCTCCAGCGTGGCTTCGGAGGCGGCTCCACACGACCGCTAGGCTTAGGCAACGGCTGCATCACATGTGTGACCTCTGGCAAGTTGAAGACTTCTTCAAAGCAGTCGTCCAACGGGCGACCGACAGCGGTGGCCTGGACTCCATCGCGAGTCCTGTCCGCTAATTCCTGGAAGAATTTCTGGTCCGCCGCCTCCAATTGGGCAAACGACACTTGCGAATGCGTGTCGAGTTGGGCCGCCATCCTCGTCTCTATCAATTTTTCGGCCCACCTGCGATGCAAACGAAAGTCGAGCAAGTTCGACATTTCAAATGCAAGACCTCTTCTCAAGAGTGCGAACTGCAGCAAAATCTCCGAACTCGTGTCAGCTTTAATGTGATCGCCCTTAGCCTCAGCTTTCAAGCGCCCCTGGGCATCCACAGTGAGCATGTTGTCACGCTTCACCTCACTCGAGAGCTCCTGGGACTTGGAGGTGCACCGATCCCAAGACACATAGCGAAGGCGATTCCCTTCGTAGATGCCCACACACAAGTCCAGCAAAGCGTCGCTCGGCTCGTTCCGATCCTTGATATCGATCCCAGAAACAGATGCCTTGATTTTTCGGTACCTCTCTGCTCTCTCCGGCTGTGACAGACGTCTTGGCCCTGCCTCATCTGGCCTCTCGGCCATCGTCTTAAGCTCTTGAGTAGCCACGGCATAAGCTTCATGGAATAGCCTGCGCCAGGATGCTTTCTGGCCTGCGTCACTCTCCTTCCCGAGTGCTTCGTTGAGGACTTTAATGAGCTCGGCATCAGAAGCAGCACCGGGCGCGTAAGACGAAACGAATGCCACCTTAGCAAGTGTATTGATTCCGGCAGCCTTCAATTTGGTCACGGCCTCACTGCCTAGACCAACGGTCTCACATCGGTTGGTGAACACCGGCTCTGACTCCGTGTATGAAGCCATGGCTCACACAGTCCCTAGCTCTTGCACAGCTGTTGCCCAACCGGCTCACATGCACTGCCACTCCGGCCAGACCGCCCCATGGGCGCACGTTCAAAGACATCATCAAAGTGCCAAATTCAGCCTGCCAAGTGACTGCAACTTCCACAAGACAACTGGCTCCAGACGCACGCGCAGAACTGGTGGTGCTAGACGCAATACACACTTGAACTTGCAGGGCACTGCCACAGCATGACAGCATGGACTTGCAAGGCACATGCGCACGGAACTTTGGATTGTCCACGCCCTCTGCCCGCAGCACCTCACGCATTGACTGATTCCAGAAAGCTTCTGAAGCACTGCTTGCACCTTGGATACAAAACGGGTGGGTGTGCATCGCACACCTCATAGGCAGCCGTAATCTTTCTGCCACAAATGAAAGCGGTGGCCTGCTCCTCACGTGAAATGTGCAAAACTCGCGAGGTTTCGTTCCTAGCCATGACCGCCTCATCAGGAATTTTAGATTTATCTACACGACCGGCCCACGGGCCCAAAACACGTCCCTCAGCACCCTCATCATGGCGCGGGCACTCCTCATCCTCAGAAGAGGACGACGAGCAATCTGCGCCTGCATCGTCGCGAACTCCCGCAGCCTCCCTCTCCGCGGCCGTCATAAGGCCTCTGGTCTCATCAGGCCTGAAAGAACGATCACGGACCTCATCGACGAGCTCCTGCAAGACTCTTAAGGGATATGCCATGGCATCCCTGGCGTAGATGATCTCCGTACCTATGCCAGCATCTTTTGTTGCGTGATAACCCAACAATGCAGTGACATCTCGAGCCACACCCTTCTTGTTTAGCCACGACAAGAGTGTGGCTTTGGCTGAGTGCGTCCCCAGCCCAAGCAAGTAGGGATCATCAGTGCCATCACTCAGCAGAGCACGCATCCACTGCCCAGAAGCCTGAGCAGTTTGCGGGATCACATTCCATCCTCCCCCACTCTTGGGTGACGGCATGAGAGGTTTCCCTTCCCCTGCAGTGATGTTCTCCTTCTCGAGCGCCGCCTTCCACCCTGATGCCCAACACTTGCCGCTGAGACCCCGCGCCGGCGCCAGCATAGGCAAAAATTTTGTTTTCCGCTCCACAGTGAAGCTAGTTTTCGTTTTCTTTACCTCCGCGTTGATAAAGCCAGCAGGCAAATCACCCCGGAAGTCAAGCTCGAAAGACAACAAGGAAACATGTTGGGCATCAGAATGACGTGCTCTAGCGAACACCATAAAGAGGACGAAGCCTGCCATTACCACATCGAGGGCTGAGCGAGGTATATCGCCCGTGCAAATCAGCTCCAGCCTGATAACGTCCTTGACTCGAAGTGGCGGTCTCTGCTGCAATCGCCTGATGCCCAGGTACAGCTTTCTGGCGAGCCCTTTCACCCTCAGAGAATCAAGCGCCAGCACTGCACTGTCGAGTCCCAACACGAAGCGGCCGAAAGCCAGCGAGGAAAGCACAGACTTGAAGAATGTTGCTGCTACCTGTGTCTGCATGTCGTAGAAGAACTTATACATGACCTCCTCTCTGATTGGGAAGGGCTCAATACCTTCCAGGTCACAGAAAGCCAGATATCTGATCATCGGACCTGCTCTCGTATGCAGAGTCGCAGTGCTCTTTGCAGCCAGAGCATTCGAAATACTCTCAAGAAGATCACCAGCACCGAGCCCCAACAAGCGGGCCCTCAAGAAATCACGAGACACAGCAAAGTCCCACGGCCCTCGCTCAATGATCTTAAGCCACTTAAATAAAGCAAAATTCTTCTCCTCAGTCTCCTTCGCGTCCCAAGAAACATGTTTTGTCCTTCTAGCAAACTTGGCACCCGCGGCATCGAGCCTGCTCTGCATCCTCGCCGCCTCAGGATGAGATGCTTCTCTCTCGGGAACTGCAGGCGGGAGCAATCTCTGCGGAGCCGGAAGCCCCGGCATGAACCTCTTCCTGGCGGACGCATCAGAGCAAATGCTGGCATCCCACGGCTGCCTGACTGAGAAGTGAGTAGCTGGGGTATCTCTGAGGGCACTCAAGAGGTGAAGATCAAAGGCGGATGAGTGATCCGGGGCACCCTGGGCACCCCTTTTAGCACTACGGCGCCCCGACATCACGTAGGCCCCGAGCACACCCGAAGCGCAAGAAAACTCAAATGAAGCGGCGAAAGAGTTGCCGCAAGTGTGCAATGAACTGCTCAAGCCAAGAGATGCGAGCAGCAGAATGAGTATGCTGCTCCTCCAGCCAAGCAAGGCGATCCTCGGCCACACGGACGCGTGAATGAAGCAGATCGTGGGCCACCTGCAAAGTGTGAAGGTGGCTGGATACAGCCTCGAGAGTGTCGAGGCTACTAGGATGCTCTGACTCAGCGGGAGAAACAGAGCGGCCCGAGGCCATCCGGCTGCCCCACGCGGGCAGCACTGCACAGAGGGCTAGGCCCAACCTCGTCTTAGCACCTCGGGCCTGCTAGGAAGCAATACAGGCCCCTAGAGAGCCCAAAATAAATTTCGCAGTCTTGAGCTCTAACTCCGAGCCAAGACTTTGCAGCATAACCTTGTTCAAATCTCGTGCGGCATGTGAAACGTGAAACATATTTCAAGTAGTTGAAAATCCAAAATCAGCAGTTTTTCTGTACTTCCAGAAAAACCAAAAGCGCCTACAAATCGTAAAGCGAAATCATGCAAGCATGAGTTGAAGCTTCTCAGTTCGAGCAGCTTTGCGGCTAGATGTAGAACATACAGATCAGCAAGGCATGCGTTAGGAAAGAAATGTAAAACAAATTTGAGCAAGCACAAATACCGTTCAACATTTCTATCTAGCCGCAAAGCATACCCTCACGATCCTGCATATAAACATATATGCACATGTCCACTCCAGCCGAGTCCGATACTCCTTTTGGCGGTAAGACACTTCGAGCAGCTGTCGCAAAGTCCAGACAAGATGCAAGACGTGTATGATCACCAATACCATAAGCTGCCAAAAGGAGAAGTCGGACTCGCTATCCTTCTAGCCCAATACCAGAACGTGAGGACGACTGAACCGCCGTCTCGGAAGCTCCAGTCTCTTGACTCAGACCGCAACGATAACACAAGAAGACCAGTACGAACTTGCAGCGACTAGGACTGGCTACTGCATCAAGCGATGACCCAGAGCACAAAGGCGCTCTCAGAAATTGCCAAGCAGCTATGCTGCTTGTTGTGTGCTTCCCCCACACCGCCATTTGGAGAACAACAAGAGCCCACGGGGGAAGGCTAGGCCGACCGCGCACCGCGAGATGTTGAACTCCGACGATGGGGCAGGACAGTCACCGGTAATGCAGGAACACAAAGAGCTCACGGGGGAAGGCGAACCGACCGCGCACCGCGAGATGTTGAACCTGCCCGATGCCGCCTGTGACAGGTCTCGCAAATTCCGCTATGGGTCGCCATCCAGCAGCACTGGCAAGATGCATTGACAGGGGAGTCCAAAGATCGTGCCAGACACTATGTGGCCACGGACATGTCACCTAAGATTGGAGCTAAGTGTTGTTCCAAAGGTTGGAACTGTCGCACCTCAAGGAACTGGCCCATACCGTAAAGCGGTCGCTGTAAATGGCCGTAAGACGCCACACCCCCACAGATGCAACAACCCTGACTGCAGCAACAGTCCACACACGTGCGCCTTTCACCAAAGTACTCACCGGCCAAAGGCAACCAGAGAGCTATCGCAAATTACCTGTCGGTCCAGGGTCAAACCGCCCCGAGTGCTTGTGCGTGTGGCACCTGTTTTAAACATTTGATTCTCAAGTATAAAAACATGCGTGGCATCACGCCATGACGCCATGTACCTAGAGATCCATCACCCCGGATTGCAGAAGGCTGATCAGCATCGAGGCTGAGATGCGCACCGCTTCCACAACGAATGCACTCGTCGGAGCACTGCGTTGCTATCACGGCAACTGCTGGCGTCCGCGGGGGCGGACTGCACACTTCTTTAACACAAGCGGTGCCAAGTACATGAAAACGAAAGGCCGCAAGCCATGTACTCATGGATCCCTCAAGCCGGATTGCATCAAAATGCTGATCCGTAGCATGGACCCGCTGCACCTCACAACAAAGGCAGCATCACGTGACGTGACTACGGATAGCGCAGCCAGCATTGTCCTGCCGAGGCAGCCAGCGACTTCTGTTGACACCAAAGGCGGCAGGCATTTCCCTAGCGGCCCTAGCGGCCACGCAGCTGTAAACCTGAATTGCAGCAAATCCAGCACACACGAAGAATGCAGCTTCTGCACAGTACGCAACTTATCCTGGAGCGCACTGCTGTCACCGCCAACGGCGGAATCATCCCGCGGGACAACCTCAGTGCAGACACTGATGACGGTCGCGAACAATCCACTGCAGGGCTTGATGAGAAGCTGCCCGATAAGAAACATCATAATCCGGCGGCTCCCCCATGTACACACACGACGTGAAAATTACGCGGTGCATATGCCGCGGCTGCTCCGCGCAGCTGTACCGTCGCCACCCAATTGATGCTGCCCTACATCTGCAACACAGGATGGCAGCAACTGACCACCCGAGAAGATTGTATCGGCTGCACCGCCTCAGCTGACCCGGATCTGCTGCACTGCTGATTTTATACGCCACTGCTCTCGGCGAAAATGCCGGCACTGCCCCAAGTAACCATAAAGGTCCGGACAGGATTTCAACGAAGTAACGAATGCTTGGCTAGGCGCAACTTGCAACGTGTCCTCCACTATGCTGCTATCGCCAGCGTACGTTCCAGCACCCACCTTTGCAGCAATTGCCTCTGATCAAGCTTTGAGATATCATACAACGCACCGCTGACACTGCACTCTACAGCTGTCACGCCAAGTCGGCGCCATCACACGTGGCCGTGCAACACCGTGCAACTACATGCAGGATACCAACATGTGCAACAAAACAACAACCACCTACTGCCCAACTCTAAGGGAAAACCTTTAATCCTGAGAAACAAGAATGGGTCGGCAAGTGCTGTATCCCGCATTTTGCCAGGGAGCTGAGGTTTGACCACCCCGAGCAGCACGAATAGTGTTTCCTGCGTTGTGCCATCATGGAAGTTCCATCCCAGGAAAGCGTTACGTTGGCGGGTTACAGTGAGCTTCGGCGCTGCGACGTTTGCATGGGCGATGCCAGAGTACCGCGACAATGCCAGGCGTTTGGCGCCAGTCCTGCCGGACTGCGGTCGCCACCAAAGTCGGCATCAAGCACTGTTGCAGTTCATGGCGCGCCTAGGCCTGTACAGCAACGCTGTCACCACCAACCCACGCGACCACACATCGATCAAGCAGGATTGCAGCAAAAGCGGCACAGGTGCTGCTCTTCACCGAAGTTAAGTTGGCACTGCCACGTGCCCAATAGACCCGGTTAGGCAGAAAGTTGCCTAATCCCGAAATCGTAGGATTCAGCTGAATCGGTCGTTTTCGGCAACACGTTTCGGCAGACCCTTCGGCAAAATCCTTAGGTTTGGGCAGCCCAAAATGAAGCGAATCTTCGGCAGATCCATCGTTGTCGAATTCGACCCATCCTGCCGAATTCGGCAAACCATGGTTTGCCGAATCCGGCAGAATCTGCCGGATTCGGCAACCCGGCCCCGGCCAAACTTCAATCAAACTTCCTCGCCCAGGCCGCCAAAACTTCCACCAAACTTCCTCTCCCAGGCCCCCCAAACTTCCACCAAACTTCCTCTCCCAGGCCCCCAAACTTCCACCAAACTTCCTCTCCCAACCCTAAACCCTAAACCCTAAACCCCTAAACCCCTAAACCCTAAACCCTGAACCCAAAACAGAAAAGCCTGTAAATACCAGCAAGAAAGAACTTCGCCCTTGAATCTGTGCCATGTGTGCAAGATTTCCCAGCTTTTCGTGCTCCAAATCGCCAACACGAAACTTCCACCAAACTTCCTCGGTTCAGGCCTTCAAACTTCCACCAAACTTCCTCGGTTCAGGCCTTCAAACTTCCACCAAACTTCCTCTCAAACCCTTTGTAGCCGCCCCAAACTTCCACCAAACTTCGGGCGAAGTTTGGGCGAAACTTCCTCGAAACTTCCTCTGGTCGCGTGTCGAGGGATCGGACGCAGTTTTGTCGTATTCGGCAGATTTTGCCGTATTCGGCAACTACTTTCGGTTAACAACTTGTCGATTCGACAACACAGGTTTGCCGAATTCGGCAACTTGTTGTTTTAACGATTCGACAGGAATCTGCCGAAGTCTAACAAGTTACCGGTTCGGCAGAAATCTGTCTAACCGGGTCTATTGGGTGGGAACAGAAGATTGCGTTAACTGCGTGCCCGGAGCATGAAAATGCTGCACATCCCCGAGCTCATTCTACGTTGCACTGCAGCAGGTGGGCAAAAGCAACTGCGATCTGCTGCATGTCTTGCAGCTTGTGCTGCGCACCAGTGTTGTCGCCAACATGCTGGCCCCAAGTAACCACGGACCCAGCACCGAGGAACGCAACAAATGTGCACACAGAGGGTTGGACCTGCTGCACCATCTCGCAGATGGTGCTGCGATCCACCGCTGTTGCCACCAGTGCAAGCGTGGCCCCAGGTGAGCATGTATTCATCACCTCGGATTGCACAACGTAAGCAATTCGAAGCTTGGGCATGCTGCACATCTCGCGATTGATGCTGGACTACACCGCTGCAGCATGCTGCAGCAGCCATCACCGTACGCGTGGCCCCAGGTGAAAACGGATGCATGATCCAGGATTGCAAAACCTGCACAATATGAAGCTTGGGCATGCTGCACACTCGCCAACGATGCTACAAGCCACTGCCTTAGCCGGGCTCACCACCCAGGACTGCAAAACGCGAGCTTTGAGAAGCTAAGGCATACTGCACAGCACGCGACTGAGGCTGCACGCCACTGCTGTAGCCATCGCAGCAAGCATGATCCCAATGAGCAGTAGTCATCACCTCGGATTGCAATAAATGCGAACTCAGAACCTTGGACCTGCTACACGTCTCGCGACTGACGCTTCACTCCAAACTGCAAGCATAACCCCAAAGGACCGCATCTTCATCACCCAGGAATGCAAGACATGCGCATCGCATTACTGAAAACTTGTACCTGCCTGAACGGCTGTTG